CCCATGACATCAGGGAACATGTCTTTTTTTTTTTTTTTTTTTTTTAAACCAGTTTACATTCAGCATCTATTAGGATACCTGGTAAATAGTAGGCTCTATAGTAATTTTTGAGTGCACTAATGGGCTCATACTCCTTTATATCCTTTAATCACACTGCCATTATTTTGTCTTGGGATGCATGAAGTGGAAAAATGTTTTTTAACCTCCCTAATTAGAGTTACTTTTGTATACTATTTATATGCATTGTATGCCTCACTAGATGGCCCAAGGGAGGCGACCGCGGAGGGTGGCGAGGGGCGGCCAGGACCCGCAGCCCCGGGGCCGGGCCGGTTCAGACCGCCAGGGAGGGCAGGTCAGTGGGCAGATCGCGTCCACGGGATTCAATCTGTGCCCGCCCTGATAACAGTCCTTTTCCCTGGCGCTCACTTTGTGGCTAGCACCCGGCTGGGCGCCTCAAGACCATTCTCTCTTGATCGCTCCTTTGGACTTGGCGGTGGGTATCATCTCCTTACAGATAGGCGCAGAGAGGCCAAGTGACTTGCCCAAGGTCTTTCGTTAGGACGGCTTTTTCCGATTGGCAAGCACTTTACTTGTGTGTTCCTCAAACATCTTTATTTTAGAGATGAGAAACCTAGTGCCTTTTTTTTTTTTTTTTTTTTTTTTTGCAGTTTCTCTTCTCCTGTCTCCTCAAGTGAGATTTTATGCGGGAATTTTTAAAGATTGGCGTCGCCTTGTAGAATATGCGGCTTGTAATTGATGCCTTGTACCATTTACTGGAGGGAAGCGCTTGTTTTGTCACCTCCTGTCCGGCATGACTTAGGTCACTTCAGCCAATCAGCCAATCATTTCTTAGCGCTTGCTCTTAGGCTCTGTGGGTGACCAAAAAAAAAAAAAAAAAAAAAAATCGAAGTGCAGTCCTTGAAACAACAGTTGAACAATTGAAAAAAATAAAAGGTTAGCGGGGAGTGTAATTGGGTACCAGATTGTGTGGGGGTGGGGGTGGGACAGCTATATCATTTATTAGAGTTCACAGAGGGAAGGCATGCTGAAGAAGGTTTGAATTGTGGGAACCCTGTGGATGACTGGAATAGGAAATACAGGGAAAAATGCAGGGTGCGGTGGTTCACCCCTGTAATCCCAGCACTTTGGGAGGCCGAGGCGGGCAGATCACTTGAGGTCAGGAGTTCAAGACTAGCCTGACCAATATGGTGAATATTGGTCTACTAATAGATACAAAAATTAGCCAGGCGTGGTGGCGCGCACCTGTAGTGCCAGCTACTCAGGAGGCTGAGGCAGGAGAATCGCTTGAACTCGGGAGGTGGAGGTTGCAGTGATCCGAGATCGTGCCACTGCACTCCAGCCTGGGCGACAGAGCAAGACTCTGCCGCCCCTAACCCCCTACCCCCGCCAAAAAAAAAAAAAAAGAAAATACAGGGAAAGGAGGTTGGTGGGACTAGGTGGTGGCGGAGATCCAAACCGTCTGGGCCAGAGGCTAGAAACGGTAGTCATTCATTCACTGCCAGAGTTTCTGTCCAAAGGTTAGGAAGCAGATGTTTCGGGGTTCTTTCACGTTGTGCAGATCTATATTTCCATCATTCTGTGTCTCAATGACTTGGTAGCAAAGTAGTTTTCTGTCCTACGACCCACCATATCAAGTCAACAGTGTGTTATCAACAGAAACACATAGGAAAGAACTTCCTGTGGCAGTAGGTGACTGAGAGACGCCATAAGCTTGCATTTCTTCAACTGATGGATGAGCTACCTTAATCTTTCACTTTATAATGGCAAAAATCCAGGACTAACCTTTTGATAGATGATTTCTTCTCAGTCTCCACAGTGCTATTAGACGTTCTGATTTCACACAGGACAATCTTAAAAGTCACTTCGCTACCATTCTAAGGAGGTCTCTCCTGTTTTTACTGATATCATTTATCTCTGTACTTCTCCTGTGTAATATTTATTACAGTTTGAGAATTCATGAACCCTTGTTTGTTTCCTTGTTATTGCCTGCCTGTACTACACTGAAAGCCCCATGACATCAGGGAACATGTCTTTTTTTTTTTTTTTTTTTTTTAAACCAGTTTACATTCAGCATCTATTAGGATACCTGGTAAATAGTAGGCTCTATAGTAATTTTTGAGTGCACTAATGGGCTCATACTCCTTTATATCCTTTAATCACACTGCCATTATTTTGTCTTGGGATGCATGAAGTGGAAAAATGTTTTTTAACCTCCCTAATTAGAGTTACTTTTGTATACTATTTATATGCATTGTATGCCTCACTAGATTTTTGCCTGATAAAGTTTATATACTTGTTTCTAAACCATCATCTAATACTGTTAGCAGATACTGAGTTTCTCCTTACTTAATTTGGCCCCTTATTCTTAATTCCTTTCATGCCTGACTCCCCTGAATGTTATGCCTCTTTTCCTGTAAATGTCTTAGTTTAGATTCTCTTCACTTTTTCCCACTGTGCTCTCTCAAATGACTATTAAGATAGATCTGAACTAGGCTATCTTCTAAAACAGAGGACCTATGTTGAGTAATGACATTTCAGTGCCTATATACTCAGAATTACATTATTTACCAACAGCTTTCTATTTTGGGCCAAGATATGTGCTTGATTGTGACCTACTTCTTTCAGGCTTTATTTAATGGTTGCGGACCCCTTCATTGTTTTTTAAACAAAACTTTTTAACTGAAGAATTACACATATAGAACACCACACAAAACATAAATGGACAAGTTGACATTTTTGTTTGTTTGTTTTTGAGATGGAGTCTTGCTCTGTTGCCCAGGCTGGAATGCAATAGTGCGATCTTGGCTCACTGCAACGTCTGCCACCCGGGCTCAAGCGATTCTCCTGCCTCAGCCTCCTGTGCAGCTGGGAATAAAGGCGCCCACCACCATGCCCTGCTAATTTTTTTAATTTTAGTAGAGACAGGGTTTCAAACATGTTGGCCAGACTGGGCTTGAACTCCTGACCTCTTGATCCACCCACCTTGGCCTCCCAAAGTGCTGGGACTACAGGCGTGAGCCACTATACCCGACCCAAGTTGACATATTTTAGAAGGTGAATACTCCCATTTAAGTACAACTGAGATTTAAAAAAAAAAAAAAAAAAGTTACAATACCCCAGAAGCCTCCATCAATCTTTCTCCATATCCTGCTGGTTTGGATATATCATTTCTATTTACAGCAGATAGGTCATTAGACCTGTTTCAAACTTGAGATTTAAATTTTTAAACTCAGAATTATACAGTTGATTTTAATTTTTACAGACCATTTCAGAGATGTCTTCCAGAAGTCCCAAAGATTTAATTAAAAGTAAGTGGGGATCGAAGCCTAGTAACTCCAAATCCGAAACTACATTAGAAAAATTAAAGGGAGAAATTGCGCATTTAAAGACATCGGTGGATGAAATCACAAGTGGGAAAGGAAAGCTGACTGATAAAGAGAGACACAGACTTGTGGAGGTAAATGGTCTTCTGATCCTTTAAATTGTAAGCTCTCCAAGAAAGCGATGCATGAAGATTTCCTGATGCTACCTTCTTACTCTTGCCGTGTTCCCTGTCTTGTCCAGTTGATTAGTTTTGGAAAGCTGACCTTGGGTTTAGAATCTTAAATTCCTACTTTGACTTTGCCAAGTCTTAGATGTACTTTAGTCATTACTACCTCTTACCTTTTAAATGTAATTGAGTATGTGTTTTTAGGTTACCAGGTACTAAGTTTGTTTTGGAAATAAAGACATTGTGATGAATAGTTTTGCACCTTTCACATAGTCTGTTTCACCTTTAGTATGGTCTCTTTTTCAGTTATTTAAAGCAAAGTAATAACCTAATCCATCATTTTTCCTATAGCTTCTTGATAATGAATATTCTTGATAACTTTTGTTATGCTGTATTTAAGATTGTGGAACATTCTGGCTATTTTCGCCATTTTAAAATTGATAGTGTAACTTAGAAGCATTCGATTTTCCATACTTTTTTTTTTGAGACTGGATCTCAACTCTTGCCCAGGCTGGAGTACAGGGGCTTGATCCTAGCTCACTGCAGCCTCAAACTCTGGGCCTTACGCAATCCTCCTGCCTGGGCCTCCCAAAGTGCTGGAATTACAGGTGTGAACCTCTATGCCTGGCCATTCCATGCTTTTTTGGAGTACTGTATTACTCGTTGATGTACTTTAAGGATACTGTGCTGGGCTTCTGTGTCTTTTTTACTGTGGGAGAAGAGAAAATATTTACCCAACAGTTATATAATCTGGTTTTCCTGTTAATTTACTAAATGTAAAAAATCAAATCTGTCCATTTCAGAGTATTAAATAGCGTTCAAATTTCCTTGTTTAAAACATTTTTTATCATGCATATTGGCTACTTTCCAAGTAATTCTGGTTTTCAGGCTTTTGAAGGAAAAATTATTAGATGTGTTGGCATTTACACTCTGTTCAACTATATTTCAGATTCACTAACTTATAATTTGTTATGGCATAGACAGTAAGGAAGTTAGGAACTTATTAGAACTAGAGGGACTTAAAATGTAATCATAAATATAATCACAAATTTGGATTTAATTATTTTGCAAAAGTGCTTTTATTGTTTGTATTTAGAAGATAAATGGTTAAGGCCGGGCACGGTGGCTCCCGCCTGTAATCCCAGCACTTTGTGAGGCTGAGGCAGGTGGATCACCTGAGGTCAGGAGTTCAAGACCAGCCTGGCCAATATGGCAAAACCCTGTGTCTACTAAAAATACAAAAATTAGCCAGGTGTGGTGGTATGCCCTCGTAATCCCAACTACTCGGGAGGCTGAGGCAGGAGAATCCCTTGAACCCAAGAAGCAGAGGTTGCAGTGAGCCGAGATCGCACCACTGCACTCTAGCCTGGGTGACAAAGCGAGACTCCATCTCAAAAAATAAATACATAAAATAAAATAAAACAAAATAAATGGGTAAACACTATGCCATATGATTTCTTTAAATTCTCTAAACAGGCACATAATAAAACTGGTTTATTTTTTGTAACAACATACATTGAGGTAAATGCTTTTTCAAGCATTGAGAAAACAGTCATCACCAATCCACAGATATGAAGGTTATTTTGCAATCTGGTGAAGGAATCTTATTGCTTCCCTGAGAGATAGCTTTCCATTTCATTCCACTTTTTGAGAAGCACTGGGTACTTTGTTCCTTTATAATCAATTGAAATTAAACTTCCTATGACTTCTACCCATTTGTTCTAATTGTGCCTATTAAGGTTACACAGAACAAGTCTTATTTTTCCTATGCAAACTGGCAACTTATTAGATATGTAAGGAAATTTTGCTTCCTCTTAACTTTTCTGCAGACCAAGCTCATATTCTTCAGCTCTTCTGGCTTATCAAAATCTTAAACAATTTTTAGTTTATTCATATCCCTCCTGAATTATGCACTTAGAATTGAACACAGTATCCTAAATATGTTCTGGCAAACACAGATTGAAATAGTAGTGTTACATCTACTTAGCTGGATACTGTACTCCATTAAAGCCTAAAACTGTATGACTCTCTATCTGTCTCATACTACTGATTTGAGTTAAGCTTGTGGCCAACTAAAATCCGCTCATTTTCAAATGAATAACCATCCCCCTAAACTTAAATTTTCCCCATTTTGTATTTGAACAACTGCTGCTTTTTCCTTCCTAAATGCAGGTTTTAACTTCATGCTGTTTTGACCCTGTTCGCCTATAATTTTAATATTTATTTCTATTATCTTTTTATTTGACTTTTCCTTTATGCCAGCAGCAGTTTGCATATCTTGTGAATGTTTGAAGATGTTAAGCATTCCTTTAGAGATCACCTTCTAGATTCAATATGGAATCATTTATCAAAAGTAAGCAGGTTAATGAATGCATCCCTCTCCTGCTGAAATATTCTGTAACTTTTAAGTTCCACTGATTCCAGTTCATTAATGAGCATGTATATCTTGTGTGACCCACTTTTAGCTTTTAGTTTTTACAAGATCCAGTATTATGGAAGAATGATTACCAAATACTCACGGGAGAGCTAGCCCTTCTTTAGCTTTCTCTCACCACCCTTGATAGAGGTGGTTTCTCCTTTCTTCATGTCTGTGCCCAGTTTTTAATCTGTCTTAACTACAGCACTTACAACGTTGCATTAATACATTGACTTACTTCTCTGTGAGCTATCTGAACATAAAACTTTGGCTTCCTCTCTTTTTTGGCCCTGGTATTTAGCATAATGCTGACTTGATATATAATAAATGCTTCATAAATGCTTGTTGAAGTATATATTGTTTAGCTAGATGTTTGACCTGGCTTTGTTCTAAGATTCTTCTTAGTTTATATCTAGAAAATTCGAGTCCTTGAGGCTGAGAAGGAGAAGAATGCTTATCAACTCACAGAGAAGGACAAAGAAATACAGCGACTCAGAGACCAACTGAAGGCCAGATATAGTACTACCGCATTGCTTGAACAGCTGGAAGAGACAACGAAAGAAGGTGAAAGGAGGGAGCAGGTATTGAAAGCCTTATCTGAAGAGAAAGATGTATTGAAACAACAGTTGTCTGCTGCAACCTCACGAATTGCTGAACTTGAAAGCAAAACCAGTGCACTTCGTTTATCACAGGTGCTAATCATTTCTTTAAACCCAGATTTTTTTTTTTTCTTTCTGATACAGTTTGTAATTCTTAGGAAGAATGAGTTTGTTAATACATGCTTCCCAAATGATCAGACAAATGATTAGTATAGTATACTAACAGGTCACTTGACTTTTTTTGATAGCCCAGTCCCTTCTCTATAAGCAAAAATAGTTAATATGGTACCCTCCACTCCTTGTACCATTGATTTGCCTGGAGGAATATTCAAAAGACAAAATCTACTGTGTATTTACAATTACCAAGGTTTTTTTGAGTTCTTATTTCTGTAGTTTGTATCATGAAAACAGTAGGCTTCATTTTTTTGGTTATTTTTCACATTTGAAACATACAATTATAATATCAAATATACTTTTCCTAACTGCTCTTGCATTTTCTCCCCCTTTTGTTTGAGAGGCACTAGTGTCATAGAAAGAACAAGGATATAGAAGTAGACATGTGAGTTCAGATTTTGGTTTTGTACTTGCCAGCTCTGTGACTCTGAACAAATTTGTTAACCTTTATAGCCTTAGAGACAATACTAGACTTCTCCAGACCCCTGTCCTAAATCTTAGTTTCTTTCTTTTTTTAAACATATAAGCTAAACCTGAGTTTCCACATCAGTAAAATCAGGATAGGAATACTGATAATTAAATGTGATAATGTATGTAAATTGCCTCACATAGTGCCTAATATACAGTAGGTGCTCAGTAAATGGTTACTTACTGATCAGACCTTTGATTCTTTTGGAGATTTGGACATTCGATAATACTAACATTAGTATCATCTATGGGCTGGGCGTGGTGGCTCACGCCTATAATCCCAGCACTTTGGGAGGCCAAGGCGGGTGGATCACCTGAGGTCAGGAGTTTGAGACCAGCCTGGCCAACACAGTGAAACCCCATCTCTACTAAAAATACAAAAATTAGCCAGGCGTGATGGCACGTGCCTGTAATCCCGGCTACTCAGGAGGCTGAGGCAGTCGAATCGCTTGAACCTGAGAGATGGAGGTTGCAGTGAGCTGAGATAGTGCCACTGCACTCCGGCCTGGGTGACAGAGTGAGTCTCTGTCTCAAAAACAAAACAAAACAAAAAATCATCTATAGCTTTCAAATATCTCTCAGTGCTGTTAAGAATCTTTCTCTGTACTTTATTTCCCATTTAGGGGAGATAGTGGTCAGACCTATACATTTATGTGTATTTTCATAGATAGGTGTTTGAGTGTTTCTGCAGATGAATTCAAAAAGGCGAAGTTTTTCTAGAGAATTTCCACAGAACTGAAACTCATAAAACATTACAGTCAGATTCAAAGTAGCTGACTAAAATTTTTCTTTGAAGTTCAAGAGTTAGTTTCTCCACTTTTGGAATGTGAAATACAAGCTTGGTAGAAATTATAATTTTAAAAATTTTTATTTATTTTTTATTTTTTGAGACAGTCTCATTTTGCGGCCCAGGCTTGAATGCAATGGCGCAATCTCAGCTCACTGCAACCTCCACCTGGGTTCAAGCAATTCTCCTGCCTCAGCCTCCCGAGTATTTGGGATTACAGGCGCCTGCCACCATGCCCTGCTGATTTTTGTATTATTAGTAGAGACGGGGTTTCAACATGTTGGCCAGGCTGGTCTTGAACTCCTGACCTCAGGTGATTGCTCACCTCGGCCTCCCAAAGTGCTGGGATTACAGGTGTAAGCCACCGCACCTGGCCCGAAATTATAATTTTTAAAGATGTATTCTTATAATACTTTTGTGGGCTACCCATATTGATTTCTGTATTTAACTAGCATGTCTGACTTCTATAACAACTTCCAAATGTCAGTGTGTTACACAACAAATGTTTATTTTTCTCTCATGCCAGTCTAGTCCAGATTGGAGTGGAGGAAGCTTTGCTCCACAGAGTCATTTGACTCCAGGTTCCTTCCTTCTAGTGGCTCCACCCTCCTTTAGGGTGGGGTCCCCCACCAAGACCTCTGTATGTAGCTGTGAGATGGAGCCTGTGGAGAACTGCCTAGGAGGGTTCTGGGGCCAGGCCTGGTATTGACATGTCTCACCTCTGCTCACATTCCACTGGAACATGGCTCCACTAACCACAGGGCAGGCTATGAATCATAGTCTATAATGTGCCCAGGGTAAAAGGAAAGGGGTTTGGAGAACTATCTTTGTCATAGTTTCCACCTCGAGGACTGAATTGAGAGAGAGAAAGGGCTACATATTAAAGTGAATGAATAGAGCATCTTTGGAGAAAAATAATTTTTTTGAGCTTCTTTGCCAGTATTCACAAGTCTCTTATAGCTATTAAAAGACTGAAATACAGCTTTTTCTATGTTTGTTGGCCAGCCTGGCTACCTAGCCACCTACGTCTCTTTTATTCCTCTGAGAAAATGAAAAGAGGAGAGAAATAATTTTTGAGTCCCATATAATCTATATGAACTAATACTAACTAATAATTAGTACTTTTTTTTTGAGATGGAGTCTCACTCTGTCGCCCAGGCTGGAGTAATTTTTGTATTATTAGTAGAGATGGGGTTTCACCATGTTGGCCAGGCTGGTCTTGAACTCCTGACCTCAGGTGATCTGCCTGCCTTGGCCTCCCAAAGTGCTGGGATTACAGACGTAAGCCTGATCTTGGCTCACTGCAACCTCCTTCTCCCGGGTTCAAGTGATTCTTCTGCCTTAGCCTCCCGAGTAGCTGGGACT